GAGGCCTTTGCCAGGCTGGGATGGAGCAGGGAATAAAGCCTGGCTTGTCTTCCTGGAGCGTGCGCCCGGCATCTGGGCTGGGCTGAGCCTGCTTGGAATTCTGGGCACGGCGGCGCCGGGGCGGGAGCCAGGGCAGGAGCTGCAGCCCCGTCCCAGCTCCGGGCACTGGGAACCGGCGGGGCTGGAGCACCAACCCAGCTTCTCCTGCTGGATCCCTGCTCGTGTCCCAGCCTGGATTCCAGCCTGGATCCCTGCTCGTGTCCCAGCCTGGATCCCTGCACAAATCCCTGCCTGCATCCCTGCTCATCTCCCAGCCCCCATCCCTGCCTGCATCCTGCCCATTTCCCTGTTGGGATCCCTGCCTGGATCTCCTGCATCCCTGCCTGCATCCCTGCCTGCATCCCTGTCTATCCCTGCTTGTGTGTCTCCCTGGATCCTGGGATCCCTCCCTCCCACTTCTCCCTTCCACCTCCTCCAAGTTTTTGGGCCTGATCCCTAGCCCTAAATGCTGGTGCATTCCCCAGCATCCCAGAGCATCCCCTAAAATTCCAGAGCGTCCCACAGTCCTCCACAGCATCCTGCACCATTCCATAGCATCCCACAGGGAAAAAAGCTCCTAGAAATCCCTAACACCACGTTTCAGGAGCACCCTGTGCTGTAATTCCAGGTGCAATTCCCAGCGGGAGTGGGGGTCCCTTCCCTGCAGTTTGGGATGATTTGGAGTTTGGGGGGGTGGGATGGGTTTGGCACCCCTGATCCTGATTCTGATCCCGATCCCTGCTGGGCACCGGCTCTAGTGGGATGATGAAACCCCTCCAAAACTTCCTTTGGGAAAGGAAATGCAGGAGGAGATGAAAAATTGACGTTTTTGGTTTGAAGTTACAAAATTGGCATTTTCTAAGGAGATTTTTCCCGTTGTATTCCCAGTCTTTAATCTGGGATCTGGGATTGACTGGGGGATGCTCCTTCCCTCCAGGCCGCAGCTCCAGCTCCATTCCAGAGCTTTGTTGGGAGGTGGGAATGGGGGGTTCCTCCCAGGGAGCCAGGCTGGAGCAGGGTCTGGAATTTGTGGGCTGGAATTCCTTCTTTGAGCTGTTATCCCCATCTCCCTCTCCCTCCTTCCCTGGGTGCCAGGATCAGTCCCCGTGGGAATTCTGAGCCTTAAAACCTCTGAACCCCGGGAGAATTTGGGCTTTTCCTGGGATTTCCAGCCCAGTGGAGCGTTCTGTCACTGGGAAGCATCCGGATTTCATGGCTGGGAGTGCTGGGAATGCTCCAGAGCACCTGGGCTTTCCAGTGGCCCAGGGAGGGGACACGTGGGACGCTTTTCCACACCCTTTCCAGGATGCAGCTGGGATGGGGAGTAGGATGTCTGGGTTGGGGGGTGGGCTGTGTTCAGGATGAGGAGTGGGATTTAACTGGGATGGGGAATCTCAGGGACCCTGGGAGCCGCCCTGGCCCTTCCCAGGCCTCCCCCAGCTCCTGCTCCTTCCCCAGCATTCCCGGGGGGCCCATTCCCGGCGCTCAGCATTCCCGGGCTGCCGCAGCTGCTCCAGCTGCAGCCATT